TAATTTTGAGTTATTTCGTTCTTCATTTTCTTTCTTACTGAATGGGAAGTTAAGAAGTTGGAATTATGTTATTTCTATTAAGAAAGAATTAGGATCTTTAAACATTGTTTTTTTACATATTGCACATCGCAAGACTGGCTATATAGCCACATCACCTTCGTTTTCTCCGACGAACTGTGGAGATTCATTGATATTTACCTGTCGAAAATCAGACCGAGGTCGCCCGGCTTCAACAGTGAGTTTGAGAGGAGGTCTTTGGTTTTCCTGACAAACCCATCAAAGACAGCCAGTCCCTCTGCTTAAATCCATCCTCAGTTATCAAAGCCATTACCGGTAAATCAATTTGGAAGGCCGCTGACCAAACAAAGGCCATTTCGGCAACTCAGCTGAGGAAGGCCACGGCTACCTCAGTAAGTTAGTTATAGGAAGATAGATAGATAGATAGCATACTTTCTCCTTATAGTTTATATCTAAGTACCCACTGGCCCGTGACATTCTGGCCCAACAGATGAACCACCGTCCCTCAACGTAAGACGCATATTACATGCTGACTCAGAAAAAATCGATGCAGTGAAGATTGTCAGAGTTATCAGGGGCGTAGTATCCGGGGGGGCCAGGCCCCCCCACTTCTTCTCCCGACATTACCTTTACTATAGAAAATGTTTACTGAAAGGAAGGTTGGCCCCCCCCCCACATTTCAGCAAAGGGTAGTGTTATAAGAAAATTAACCCCAAAAAGTTTGAATTGGAAGATATTTGGTATTGAAAAAAGTTAGCCACTACCCCCCCCCCCCCCCCCCCCCCCCCCCCCCCCCCACACACACACACACACACACACACACACACACACACCCGAAATAGGCTTTTCGACTTCGGGCAACTTTTAATTTTTCTTTTTTTTTTTTTTTTTTTTTTGTTTTTTTTTTTTTTTGCTTGTCAGCTTTTTCATGTAAGTAAAAAAAAATTTTCTCAGGTTGGCCCCCCCACTTCCAAAAACGATGCTACGCGCCTGGTTATATAGAGAGTGTGGTGAGAAATGTGGTTGGAGAGGTTTGTTTTCAATGCTTTTTGGAAATCAATTCATGATACAAATATCTTTGACAATTTTGAAAGATTTGCTTTAAGGTACATTTTAATGTTGTGTATTATGGTGTAATTTTCTTTCTTTAGGTCAGGGAAATTGAGGAACGCGAGGGTCCAATTACCCATGTGGTTGATAGAAAAAGAAAACGTACTTCCACTGGTATGTTTCTAAATGATCTATGTCTCTTTATTATAACATAAGCCAATTATTACAAAACAAGAATAAAAAAAATACTTGTTATAGCCATAGGGATGCCTGCCAGCACAGCACAAGAAGTGCTGGTGTACCACACAGGAAACTGAATTTATCCTCAGCACATGCAAAGAACTGATTGATGGTGAGAAGCAGTGTTTTATAAAACCAATTACTATTCAAATACTCAATTAGAAAAACTATTAATAAATGATAATTTGTTCTCATCCAATTTATTTTGTAGATGAAGTTTTTATTCAAGAGGCAAAACAGGCGTAGAGTTGTTGGAGAAGCTTAAAAAATCTTAAAATCTTTTTTTAAAGTCCTATCAAGACTGCAGTAGGATCGCACCAGTGTCTTGTCCAAGGTCGGAACCTGCATCCTCCAATGTCATATAAAACATAAACATCAACAGCAAAGATTAAACTTTAATCTGATAATTTTAACATAAAAGTTCTTTTATTTAATGTGCAGAGGGTGCAAAAAAACTTTTATTTACTGAAGATGGCTTTTTAAAAGGAAATACCGTTGTTATATTCATCAGTATGACATTTGGGAAAATACCTGTATTGGTTTTGGATTGTTCTATTGTCATACATTGTACATGTAACAGAAATTTACTTTCATTGCTATGCATAGTACTTCTAATACACGTTGGAGATATGTTTGAGAAATATTGGATCTTTACTTTACTTTTCATACAGTCATTAATATCTTAAAAAAACACTTGCTCTCTCCTTCAACTCGACATTTAGATATATCGACGATGTATTGTCAATTAATCTCTTCCTACGTCGATACGATATATGTCACATATAGGTTGTCTCATTTTAGGTTACTGTGACCTAATTTTTAGTAGATGATTTTCGAAAACCCAATATACATCAAACGACAAAGTATGATGTTTCTAAGCCAATAAGTAACTGAGATGTTCAAAAGTAGGTCAACATGACCTACTTTTTTATCGACATTCTCTGCAAACCCAAGATGCATCAACTTACAAAGTTTGATGATTCTAAACTTAAAAATGCCAGATATACTAAAATAAAGCCATAAAATGTCAAAAGTAGGTCAGTTTGACCTATTTCTGATCAACATTCTCTGAAAACGCAACAGATATCAACTGACAAAAGTTTGATGATTGTAAATAAGTATCCGATATTTTCAAAAGTAGGTCACCGTGACCTAATTTTTGTTCAATATTTCCTGAAAAGTAAAGATATATCAACAAAGTTTGATGATTTGAAATCGATAAATACCAGAGATACTAAAATAAAGCAATAAAATGTCAAAATAAGGTCATCAAGACCTAAGTTTTGGATGTCATTCTCTGAAACCCAATATGCTTCAATTGACAAAGTTTGATGATTCTAATCCAATAAGTACAGAAAAAGAAGCCATAAATTACCTAAAGTATGTCCCTGTAACCTACGTTTTGGTCGTCACTCTCTGAAAACCAAAGATGCACCAACTCACAAAGTCTTGATGATTCTGAGCCAATAAATATACTTAAAGATACTTAAATATAGGTGTAAAATGTCAAAAGAAGGTCATCGTGGCATACATGTATGCTCAGCACTCAGGGTATTTGAGCAGTGAGGGATCTTTTTCGTGTCAGCACCTACTGTGACACGGGGCCTCGGTTTATACGGTCTCATCCGAAGGACCTAATTGCATTGAAGTTTCAGATTAACTTTGGTATTTAATGGCTTCCGCGTCTCTGTTTTTGTTTGTTTTCTGCTTCTAACATGTCCATGTCTACAGCAACAGTTGTATTCTCATCAGTGCTTATCACTACTCGTAGCTATTCTGAAGTTAGAAATCTCTGACTTCTCGGCTTTCTGAAGAAAGTGGATAAACTCTGAGCACTCCGGGTGTTATATTTCCCAACTACATGTATATGTATGTTTAAGTTTCAAAATGGTACCATTTTCACTTTTTTCAGCGTACTTCGGCAGCACAGTAGCTTCTTATTTCACATTCCTGAGGACTCTGTTTTTCCTGAACCTGTTAACAGGGATCATTTTATTCTCACTTACCGGCGTACCACAGGTAATCACCGTAATAACATGTACTTCAGTGAATTGACGCTAGACGGCGTGCAAAATACAAACATTGCCTGAATAAACGCAAGATAACGGACAAGTTTTTCTATGTTGTCTGATATCTTTCATTCACTCTATCGTGCCTCTAATAAAGTTTAACTTTAAAAAGTTAACTAAAGAGGATACTCAAATACATTTTCATGAAATACTACTGGTATTATGACTTTCATGGGGTTTATATGGCCGATCGTTGGTCAGCCTTCTGCGTGTGTTCACAAAGCTATGTATTGCGCAGTGACTTGCAGGATCATTGCATAATATAAAAAACATATATGAGAGATAGCATAATCGCAAACCACGGCCAAAATGTGTGATCCTTTCCCACTCTTGAGAGTGCTACGTTTATGTACAGACTCGTATATTATTCACTACACCGTCTTTCGATACTTACAGTACCTTGATATGTGTACTTTCATAGGAACAAAAATTCTGCAAAATTGTCTATCTGCATCCATTTGGCTAAACTCGGTTGATTTTGCTTTTCAGAATGTTATCAAAATAAGTTGTACGTTTTGCATTTACGTCTTATTAAACATATTTCCGCCGTCCATTATTGCGCATAATGTAAATTTTCCTTTAATCTAAATTTTGAGATTAAGTATCAGATTTGGCAAAAATGTGAGCGAAATTTGCTGAAAACCAAATGTTGTTTCAAAACCATACCGGAAAGGCCGAGACTGAATTTGGAAGACAATCACACATTGCATACATTGCAGCATGAAACAAATAAATTTCCTCACTCTCGATTAATCAGGCACGTAGTACCAGGGGGGCCTGCCCTTCCCCCCCCCCCCACTTTTTCTATAGAAAATGTTTACTGAGAGGAAGGTTGCCCCCCCCCCCCCCATTTCAGCACAGAATAATGAATTGAAAGATAGTTGGTCTTGAAAAAAGTTAGCCACTCCCCCCCCCCCCCCCCCACGAAATAGGATTTTCGACTCTGGGCAACTTTTAAATAATTTTTCTTTTTTTTTTTTGCTTGTCAACTTTTTAAGGTCAGTGAAAAAAAAAATTTCTCAGGTTGGCCCCCCACTTTCAAAAACGATGCTACGTGCCTGATTACCACACAGGCAAAAATAAATTTCCAGTGGGAAAGCAACACAACTTGATTTACACTGTTCGAAGGCCACTTAAAAGTATTCCTTTAAACAGATGCATGCACAGATACCGAACATAATCCATGAATGTCCTATAGCACAGGTACACATAATCCAGATATTACACAAGTTCACCTATAATTCCATGTCATCAGGCAAAAGTACATTTCATTAATATCATCAATCAAAAGTACATGTAATTCATGACTTCAGGCAGAGTCGGTTCATGACGTCAGGCACAGTCGGTTCATGTCTTCAGGCACAGTCGGTTCATGACTTCAGGCACAGTCGGTTCATGTCTTCAGGCACAGTCGGTTCATGACTTTAGGCAGGGTCGGTTCATGACTTCAGACACAGTCAGTTCATGTCTTCGGGCAGTGTCGGTTCATGTCTTCAGGCACAGACAGTTCATGACTTCAGGCACAGTCGGTTCATGACTTCAGACACAGTCCGTTCATGTCTTCGGGCAGTGTCGGTTTATGTCTTCAGGCACAGACAGTTCATGACTTCAGACACAGTCAGTTCATGACTTCAGGCACAGTCGGTTCATGTCTACAGGCAGTGTCGGTTCATGTCTTCAGGCATAGTCAATTCATGACTTCAGACACAGTCAGTTCATGACTTCAGGCAGAGTCGGTTCATGTCATCAGGCACAATCGGTTCATTGTCTTCAGGCAGTGTCGGTTCATGTTTTTAGGCACATTCAAAACTTTATACACACTGTTAACACAAAAGATACCTTGTATGAATGTTTTGGTTTTGGTCTCTTTGATGTGGGGAGCCTTTTCTAAGGTGAAGTAGCCCATTGGCACTCATTTCCACTTTCGTCTCATCAGTAAAGACAGCGTCTTCAAACTTTTCTTTACTTCTGAGGGCTCGTAGGGACATCAACAATCTAGCCTACAACAGTATAAATGGAAGTTATTCATAAAATTCATGTTACTGAACCTAAAGCAGATTTGTTGAAATCCGTCGGTTGTGTAGGCAAAGCATGCTAGTAAAAATTTTGTAAGGACCCACAAGTTTTAGGAAAACATCAGTCAGACCAAATTCAAATTATAGTTTGTTTGGAATTGCCACCCACCTTATTGAAATATGAATTTTATTGGCAAAATATTGAACATATTTTTTTTTACTCTTTCGGCGTCTTACCCGGTACTTGATTGTTACAATTAATTAACATAATCATTTATCAAAATAACGCTTTAAAGTCACTGACAGGTTTAATTCAACAACACTGGTCAATAAAACATTTTCTTCATAGTATTCACAATATAGCGATTTGACAAAATGAAAGTCGCCAAAATGTAAGACCAGGTTTGATCATTTGATGTGAAAACATTCAAGCAACACGTTGAATAGCTGAACATTTATGCATCTCCAAAAGGTGAATAAAAAAAATTAAACGGAATAATACGTTTACCGATACCTGGAAAGAGCTATTGTAATAGATTGCACATTGAACTTGATAAAAGTCTGTCATGTTGAAATTAAAAATCAGTTCAGAATATACCAAGCACCCCCTCCCGCTTTTCCACAAAATATCCCAAGTATTCGAAATTTTTATGTGGTTCCCACAGTTGGTAAGGGTTGTCTTAACAAAGGGCTAAATTTCGAAGAGAAATGCCATGAAATAAACTGATTCAAGTATTGTTAAAAAAGATTTTTACAAATAAACTACTGATAAAAATTTGACAATGAAAGTTATTTGACTGTTAATAAATGAACAGATCTAACATGAAAATTTTATTGCTGTTTGAGTTGTAGTGCAACAAAAGCGGCAATTCCAAACAAATATTTTTTTGAAGGTTGGCCTCAAGATGACCGTTTGAATAAAAGTCAAGTATGGATACAAATTATAAAGGTAGCACACAAGTTGAAATGCAGAAGAAATGGCTGTGTACACAGCATGTTGTTGATAGCCATTATAATTTGTTATAGCAAAGTCATAAAGCATGCCATTTATGTCTTTTATAGAGGATGCTGAAGGTTGTTAAATATAATTCAGGGCATATTTGGTTATTTATATCACTTCACAGTACCAAAATAAGGTGCATGTATCTGGTCTGACAATATATTGACCAGTACAACACAATGTTTGACTGCATAAGAATATGCAAAATGTTGACAAGTCTGCTAAAGACTATATCATTTCAATGAATGTAAAACATTCTTAAAAATGTGAATGTATATTCAAAACGTAAAAATCCTACAACAAACAAACAAATCTTAGACAAAGAAATTGTGGGCATATACGTGTGTTTAAGTCTTAAAATTAGCAGTCAATTTGTTATGAAATGCATATTTTGATGAATCATTGTTAGAAAAAGATAAAGCAATTCTTATCCTCTGATTCTTTTCACTAATGATCTGGAAGTATCTGGTATATTTCCCACGGAACCTCAGCGACTTCCTCAAAGAAACAACAGTTTTCAATGACACACACAGTCCAAACCGCTTCCGTAATTTCAAGCACAAGTCTTTGCAGAAATGTAAAGACTGAACTTTCACATAATAACTGATGAACTTCTTGTGGGCTGATCGCATCTTCAATCGTCCATCACGTATCGCTTTCCTCCATCACCCTCCTCACGATAGCGCTTCATAAATAGTCTTTCTATTCTTCTGTATCCTGTGTTCCTTCCGTAAAACATGAATCAAATTCAATAACTGGAAAATTTGTGCATAATGCTCAGGTGACCTATGGCCCAGGGGCATCTTGTTTATCATCCCGATCCCGATTTTATTTTTAAATCACCTATCTTCAATTTTTTTTTATAACGAATGTGTGAATGAGTAATGTCATCATGATTTTTTCTTAAAACTCAGCTAGGATAAGGCTGCCCGATCAAACTGTAGCAACTACTCTGACCTACAGAAATATGACGTCATAATGGAATATGACGTCAAGCCAATGCATACATGACGGGGAAAGTTCTTACATGGCATGTAGATTCATTTTTGGGATTTGTTATTCATAATTCAAGAGTTATGATTCTTTTTTGAGCTAAGTTGTGCTGTAATAATGTTGAACATTTGAAATATTAATATCCCTTTCCCTATATTGTCAGATATACACATATTCAAACAGCACACGCTCCCCTTACACGTCCGTAGACAGAGTTAGAGTTTATGAATCGTGTTTATATTGGACTGGCACAAGTGATAAACAAGGACAAATTGAAGATATTCTGTGTGAATCTACAAGAGAAGGATGTCCTGTAACTGAATATTGCTAGGGGATTGTGTGTAGTTTATCCAATTTTGTATAGATCGCGATAAGGTGTGGAAAATACCCCTTCTTACGTTGGTAAGTTGAATTTTTCCTAAAATAATTTCTTAACGAGTTAAAATTAAACCTGCCCCCATCACTTTCTATGTACCGGAGATCATGATGAATTGATCTAACTTTGCACAATATATTTATTTTGCACTTCCCTAACAAAAAAATACTATAGTAAACTATAGTTAACTATAGTTTACTATAGTTAACTATAGTTTACTATAGTAAATCAAAGTTCCAAAGTTTTCGTCAAAGTTAATCAAAGTTCCAAAGTTTTTGTCATAGTAAATCAAAGTTTCAAAGTTTTCGCCATAGTAAATCAAAGTTCCAAAGTTTTCGCCAAAGTTAATCAAAGTTCCAAAGTAATTACTATAGTAAATCAAAGTTTCAAAGTTTTCGCCATAGTAAATCAAAGTTTCAAAGTTTTCGCCATAGTAAATCAAAGTTCCAAAGTTTTCGCCAAAGTTAATCAAAGTTCCAAAGTTTTCACCATAGTAAATCAAAGTTCCAAAGTTTTCGCCAAAGTTAATCAAAGTTCCAAAGTTTTCACCAAAGTAAATCAAAGTTCTAAAGTTTACACTATAGTAAATCAAAGTTCCAAAGTTTTCGCCAAAGTTAATCAAAGTTCCAAAGTTTTTGCCATAGTAAATCAAAGTTACAAAGTTTTCACTATAGTAAATCAAAGTTCCAAAGTTTTCGCCATAGTAAATCAAAGTTCAAAAGTTTTTCGACAAAGTCAATCAAATTTCCCAAGTTTTTGCAAAGTCAATCAAATTTTTCACTATGCTAAATACAAAATTCAAAGTTTATTTCTCTATGGTGTATCAAAAAACAATTGTTTTATTTATTTTTTTTAAAGGATTTCATTAATATAATTGTGATTTTTTTCCCCTCACATTTCAAAAAATAAGTTTACCTGGGTATTCTATCTATTTGTTTGGTCCTCCCCCTTTTTTGTGTGTGTTTGTTTTTTTTTTATCATTATTATTATCTGATTATTAATATCATTTAAAAGTTACTACAATGGTATAGCTAATACAAATGAAAAATATTTATTCTATACTGAAATACTTGTTGAATGTTTATAAACAAAACTGGTATGACAACCTTGTCATTAAAATCCATTATTATTTTTTCCTTTGTTTTAAAAGGTGATGCAAACATTCATTCATTGATTCAACATGTTGAAGGTTCTATGAATAAGTGTATCCTGAACGGCCAGAATATGCAATAATGGCAATAAGAGATGCTATTCTTCATACGTGTTTCAATCTTTTGGTACAATTTTCTTAACAGCTTCTAATTACTTCATCATAAGTAAAAGTGACCAAATTGACCTATAAAAACTGGTCTATCAAAACGTAGTAGAATATGGAATCAAAAAGAACTGTGTGACTTATAAAATACTCATACATAAAAAACCTCACAAGGGAAATTAATTAAAACACACAATACTTATAAAAACAACCAGTTGTTACATCCGTAATTGTTTTTCATTTTGTATCCCAATGTTTTTTTCTCCGCCCAGGACTAAATAGGATATGAAACATCGCATTGAAATATATAAAACCAATTCCGTGCACATCGAATTGTTGCGGATTGCATAAATACTCTCAAAACTATTGAAAATTGTGGGTTTAAATTATTCGGCTGAAATTTTTTATCAATGAAATTAAATTACCCTCTTGTAATGCCATTCTACTCCATACAGAAAAACTCCTGAATCTTATTCACTTGAAGTCTGACTATATGATCTTTTTAATTCAAGTGGAGTTCTGTAGGTTTATAGCTAGAAATACTTTGGCCTTTCTAAATTGCATTTCAAAATGATACCGTCTATAAATCAACTCTTATATACATGTGCAAAGAATTGTGCATTATTTTTTTAATTGTAGGAAAGTATTCAGATTTTCTGATTCAATTGCACGAGTTTTTTTAAAAACATTTCAATGCAACATTTCATTAACATGCAGAATAAAATCTATGCAAATACCAATACTGATTCTACCTTAATATTTGTTTGATGGAATTCACAGTTCTTACACCAGTTTTCAACAACTGTTTATTTTAACACAGTTGGACTTTGGTATCTCGAACTTAATATCTTGAATACCATGAATGGAAGTCCGGCCCAACCACATATTCATTTAGTATTTAATCTTTACATGTTTTGGAAGTTTTATCTCATTCCCATCAGTTTCGAGATAACAAAGTTTAACTGTATTATACGACTTGTAAGAAAACAACAAGAGTTAATTGCATTCATATACATTTTATTCTTTACCAATTCATATAATCACATGTATTTTAACACGTGTTTTATTTCATTTCAAAAGTATACACAACGAAAATACCAGCTTGAGATACAGTTGTATCTAATCTTTGTTGAGGAAAATATAATTCAACATACAACATGTACAACTTGGAACAACTTGGAAAGCTAGCTATTTTGGCTACACATTATCTACACATGCATGCTGTCAGCAACTTGGTGATGAGTTCATTAAAGCAAACATGAATACAATTAAAATGATAATTTTTTCATGGTAATGTCATCATTTCAACATGTCCAACTAGATTTCATAACATTACTGATACATCTACATGATTTATATACATACATTACACATCATGAAAAAATGTTCAATCCCATTCATAATGGTTTGGCAAACACACAACAATTTTTACAAGACCACTGACCAATAATAGACATTTTGAGTAAAAGTCCTCAATGTCAATGACAACTCTAGCTTGGGTTTCCTTGACTGTTGTTATAAAAAAAGATGAAGCACCAGTATCTGTGTCAATAAACAACAGCTCATTTGTTTTCTCAAGTTTTTTTCCAACAATGTAAGGTGTTTTACATCCACATTCAGAAGAAACATGTTCACATTCTTCATTAAATAACAATAACTTCTCAACAATGTAAAAATCACCAGACAGAGTTTTGATTACATAGTTAATTGATTTTCCATCACTCTTCGTGTAAGACTGAGAATAAACCAAATTGTCTTTAAACAAAAATCTATCAAAAAATACACCACATGGATTTTCCAAATTAATGTTCAAGTGATTCTCTATGGCTAATTGTTCAAAAACTGATAACGCTCTATGTACATTTTTTTTCAACTACAAGAAGCTCCTTATTAATCCTGATGTAAGATTTGTGATGTTTTTTTACCTTGTAACTTGTCACAGAAAAATTTCACTGAGTCAGATGCATTACACAAATGAAACAAGGAAAGTCTCTTTGCTTCTTGAAACAAAATCAAAGATTTGCATATCTGCGTTGATACATGTTGGGTTCCCTTAAACATCGTCAATAAATGTCCTCCATTGCCCTCGAAAGGAAATGTAGATGTACCCCATATTGGACCCCAATTACGGACACTCTGGGCAACATGTAAGAGCTGATGGACATTGAAGCTCATGTGTTCAGTTCCATATAATTCTCCTACTTGATGTACGAACTTTCTGAGAGCTCTCTCAGCACAGTCAACTTCGTTCAAAGTTACCGATGACTGCAGTAGTGTGTATATCGCAAACACCAAGAGGAAGAAATGGTTAACATACTGTTGTGGAAGAGTGCCTCGTAGAATGATCAGGGAGTAGAAAATTAGGAAAGCTCTCCACTCTGATGCTTTCCAAAACCGCCGAGTGGACAGAGAACGTGGTCTACGAGTAATTTCAAATGGAGGTTTTAGTTTCAGCAGCTTCCTGTCCAGTTCCTCCCACTGTCGTCCAATATAGAATGGCTTTCCTTTGTTGTGGGTGTCCAACCAAAGGCTTGTAAACTGCCGAGTAACACCCTGGCACACATTGTGTAAGTAGTCAGGTACAAATCCTGCCACCATATTGAACACACTTAGTAAGCATAATGGGCTTAGTCCTTTGATTCCATTGACTGCACGAGATGAGGTACAGGCTAATAGTCCATCCTCGAGCACTGATGCATGGGTCCTCTCAGGGTGTGCATCTGAAGGATATGCCCTTACGTGTCCATCTCCCTTCCCAACAACCTCTCCTGGGTGTAAACACCAATCACACCCAAACTGTCCATTAAATTGTTTGGCGTTCCTCAAGGCTGGCCTTGCCACTGCATCACTGGTGCAGATAAGGGTGTGAATCTTTGTGCAGTGTTTCTGACCAATGGTATCTATCCAAGTGACTCCCTCTTTACTAAGGTTGTTGCACATATCGACAAATGGTGTCAGAAAACTGTCCATTCTGGGCTTGCCATGCCCAAACCACAATGCCGCTAAAATGACATTCTTTTTCCTCTCTGATGGCGAACATTCATTCAGCATGAGTTGGATAGGCCAAACGGAATATCCCGATGACTTGAAAACGGGCATCCCATCACAATTCCATTGAAAGCTTAAGTCATCCTCGCCAATGGTCCCGTTCTCACGCAGCTCTTTGTAGACTGCTCCATCAGCAACACAAGTTAACACACCATCAGGAGTTCTGTTTTGTTGCGGCAGTCCATTCACTTTTAAATAGTTCTCTATTTGGGAATGTAATGGTAAAACCAGGAAAAAGTTTGCAGTTGTTTCACTTTCTCTGTTCTCCCAGCCACAATACACACACGTCTGAATAATCTCCTTGCCCATATATCCTTGGCACTGTTCACAAACAAAATGTTTTTCAATGGTGTCCATGTGATCTGCAACACTGAAAAACTTTTCGATGAAGTAATTGGATCTTGGGAAAAGATTTGGAATGTGCAGGTTTATAAGTTCCAAAAGGTCAGCACTGGCAACTTTAGTTAGTCTGTGTGTCAAGGTGAACAAAATGTACATCAGTAGACTTTGTGCTCTGGTAACTGTGGAGTCACTGTGAACTTCCTCATTCCAGTATCTTTCATCCTAAAGAAACAAAAAAAAAATTAGTTTTCATGCATGACTTCAATCAAATATGTACTTTCAGCAGTCAGAGATGAGACAGAAATTCATCAAATTTAAAAAATATTAATGACCCCATGATTTCATTTCATCTAATGATCTGTATGTAATTAGTTTGAAACTTTATTGTACACATTTATCTAAGGTTCCTTGGAATAATACAACTGTTTTCAAAAAATATTTGTTAAATTTCTCCTTCTTGTGTCAAGTGTATAAATTAAGTTTATCAAATTTATATAGATTACATAAAATTCCCCCAATCAGTGATCATATCTGTGGGGCAATCGATAAGGCATTGAACTGGCAATCTCATATTCGTAAGTTCAATTCCCTGCGTGCACATTGAAGAATTTTATTCAGTAAATAAGGCCGTGCACTATTTTGGCAAAGCATGCTTACGCCATGTAAATCCTTAGACCACTATGCGAGAATAGTAGGGTATGGGTTATATAGAGACAAACTGACAGGAAGCATAATAAATATTAGGGTTAAGGACGATATATCGAAACATACAGATATTTTCCTCTAACATAAGGTTTACGATATTTAAAATATCGATATGAAACAATACACTACTGACATATCCAAAATTGAAATTAAAGTACCTGTCCTTGGAAAATGGTGGCTTGTATGAAGCAAAGAGACGATGGTTATCATGATAATATTGAAAATACACTTTAAAATTTAGAACTAATTAGTTGTTAATTACAGTGGCTGCAAGGTTATTGTTGACAAACCAATCATGTAGAATCGTTTGTGCTATGTGCGAGATCGTGCCAGTATCAGACTTGATCATTTGCAGTTTTAATCAAACTTTTTCATTGCTTCAGATGATTAGACATGAAAATGTGAAAAGTTCACTGTGTAAATAGTTTCCAGAAAATTTGGTATTAATTGTTAGTCCATCTGGTACTCACAGCTCATAACAAAATACGGATTCTCTAATTTTAACAATTTGAAATTTTGAAACAAACTGGGTTTTTTGTAATCTCAACTTAGGTACAGAGTTTCAGCATTTAATAATACTTGTGTTTTAGTCAGTGTTCTTTGATGTTTTTGTAAAGTTTAAGTCAATCAAATTGATGAACTTTAAGCATTAATTTCAAAGCACAAATTTGATATAGAATTTTTTTTTGATATAATGTCAACAAAAAATGAAATAATTTTTTTAAGTTCTATAACTAACATAATATCGAGATACCTATCATACTGTGTTAATGTATCAAGACACTTGTTGTATCTTAAAATCAGTGTTTCATTCCACCCCTCATTGTGAATAAATATGATCATGATGATACAAGTTTTTTTTAGATCAGCATTTATCAATACAGAGTCTCTTCTGAAAACAATCTTATTTATTCATTTACCATTACATTGTGACTCCTTTATTGATAATTTTATGTCAGAGATAAGCAAACCACTCAATAACAATTTTCTATTTCATTAAATAGTTGATGTAATGGCATGTTCAAATGAAATTTGAAATCAACATTTTGAATATGATCTGGACTGTATACCATGTACAGGAGGTTTAAAGATCATGGGTATCATTTGGTTGGGCCAAGCTTAAAAAATTCTTTGTTTGAAGTTGCCGACCTTTAATTTTCAGACTGGTAGGTAGGTAGAAATCTAGGCATTTTTTTTTATTTGAAAAAAAAAAATAAAATAAAGACTTTTGTTAAATAACAATTAACATGATTAATAGGGGTTTTCCATGTTTTCATCATGTTCCTGGGCCTACTTAATATGAGAAAGATCCACTCTTGTTATAAACTACTGATAGATTAAAAACAAAAGTCAAAAATTGAAAATGAAACAGTTTAAATAACTTTAAAACTAAAAAAAAAATAAATTACCAAATTGCTAAAAAATAAAAGTTTCGGTAGGGTGCATTTTCAGCATGTTTAGTGGGTCGGTAGGCAACTGCAAACAAGTAATTTTTTTTTTAGGCCTCAACAATTTTAAATAAAATGTACACTAGTTACCTCATCCATTTCAGAGTCTTCCAAATAAAATTCTTCACCATCCTCTGCATCAAAGTAATAGGAATCTTCTCCATCACCAATGTTGTCAGAATCAGAGAAATCAATCTGAAATATTGAATTTAATTAATATTTAATATATTTTGCATATCATTAAGTGCTGTCATCCTTTGGTATAGAATTATCACTGATTAAATTACCAATTATTATTATGACATTCCTGTTCTTCAAAATTAACTTTTGATGATTTTAAATATATAATCCCTTGTATAACTTTAATCCCCCTTGTGGCCTTATTTCACTCTTAAAGGTAATGATTTTCAAATTTAAATGAACATTTTGTACAAATCAAATTTTAAACTACACGTACTTCCTCCTCTTGCTGGTCAGTAGCCAAATACAGCAAGTCTTCATCTCCTTCAAATGCACCTTCATCATCATCATCATCACTGATGGGAAGCTACAATATAATCAGTTATATTTTTATTGCAGTTACTCATGTGATAAGGTGAGAAAAAAAGTCTCTTTCCCGTAACAGTCCTAAAAAATCAAGGGTCATTGTGTTTGGATTTTTTAAATAATGGGGCCAAACATCCTTGGACTGAAATAAACAGGTTTTATGTTTACAGAGGACACTCAAATGAAAATAGCTGCCTAGTGACAAAAAACAAACTGCTATAGAGTGTTCCGTCAAAGCATGATACGCCTGTCAAATAATTTCCTCAATTCAGGGCTCCGATTCACACTAACTTTTAGATCACAAATTTTTTTTGTCGAAATTTCAGAATTTCTTGCTGCCATAAACAAATATTTCACTTGTCCCGACCAAAACATTTTGTGAGTAACACTAAATAAAAATATCAGCTGATTCATCAAACCCAAATTTGGCAAAAAAAAAAAAAATCCACCAGTGGTATAATTTTAATGAGATGGTCAGCTTTGAAGTAAAATTTCTTTTAAAATTTCTTAAGCAGATGAAATAAACAAAATAATTGATTTTAATTACAAACTTGCAACCAAAATGAAGTTTGAAAACATAAAAACAAAATTAATTCTAATTATAAATTGCATCATCCAAATAAATGAGATGATTTATTAAGCCATCCTTAAAATATCGTGTGTTTGGAATTGCCATCTGAAGGGTTTCAGACAGAGGAGGGAGTGAGGGAAATTTTTTTTTAGAATTGAAGATAATTTTTAAATTTTTGATAAAAATCTCAATAAACAGTAAATAAATTTTCTGACTTTAAAAAAAAAGTATCTACCATCCACATGAGCAACAACACCAAAAAAAAAAAAAAAATTACATAGATTTGACAATATATTTTAGTGTTTTGTGTGGTGCATGTGATACATGTAATGGGCCAAGAAAAATATAATAATAATAATACATCAAGAACGTCCGCGGAAGTGACTTTATTTATAACGCATGCGTATTAAACACAGTAAAAGAGTTCCCTTCAGGGGAAATAGCTCACCTTTTGAAAATGGGGAATAAGAAACACAATTTGAACTTAGTATTCATGATATTCTCTCTATTACAAATTGCTTATGAATAAATAAACTAAATCATACACACCATTTCAGAATCTGTGTCCCCTTCTATGTAGAAATCATATGACATGGTGAAGCTTGATCTACTCAATTTGCTGAAATAAAAAAAAAATCATTTTTATACTCCAGTCTTGGCTTTTATCTTTACCACTTTATCAAGGCCACAATTAAAATATTGTTGGTTTGGCATTGCCGACTCAGTCTTAACACATTTGGGTCGGTAGGTAGGGGACATATTTTTTTTCAATTTCAGAAATGTTGTTAGTATCCAGACTTCACAGGTTTCCAATTGCTTAACAACAATTGAAGTCCCAAATTGATTCCCAGTTGTTATTTATTTCCAAACCCTATTAGTTTTAAACCTTCAATGGTATTAATGCCCTGTTCACACAGAGAATTCAATTCGCAGTAAATTAAGCAGATCCATTTGACATAATGGCAAAGTGTCTGTACGACACATTTTAATGATTTACAAACTTTGCCTTAGTTTTTTACTCAAAAAATAGCATAAGTACCTATAGCTGACCACCGTCAAGTGGCATTTGAATCAATTTTGCAATTACGCATGCATCAGAATTTAATTCGAATTAGCTTCGCTTAGCGTTCACGGAGCTAATGAGAAGTAATTTAATGCGCAGTAAACTAATTCGAAGTAAACTAATTCGCGTTAAATTCTCCGTGTGAACGCTAAACGAAGCTAATTTGCAGTAAACTTACGTTTAATTCGAATTAAACTCTCGGTGTGAACAGGGCATTAAAATGCACCTTCATTGAATTTACATGAATGTATGCATGAATCCAAGCATGGCCACAAGCAATTGGCACAGGACACTGTACCTTGAAATTCTAATTCAAACTTTTACAACAAATTCATCAGTATATTTTTGCCATTTAAAAACAAATTGTCGCATAAAGTCTGTTATACCGAGTTTACATTATTGTTTTCGACAGCTATGCTTGGATTTTTCATAGACATGAATCGATTTATGTCTATGGATTCGTGAAATATATGCATATTCAACATATTCAAATAGACGCTTTCAAATGAAAACCGTAGGATCAGTCAAGCATTTACATGATTATTTCCTATTTTGTATATAACTGAAACATACAGACATCCAAATTTGGATAAATATTGTGAAAAAAATTACAATCTGTATCAGTTGAAAAATATTTTTAGGACCCCACCGATGGCGATTTACCTGAGTCAGAGGGCAATGCCAAAAAAAGCTAATTTTAATTTTGGCCCAATAATTGTTTGGCATCATCTGTTACCTACTATGGAAATCACTTACCATTGCCAATGTGAGGATGAATATTAAATGTTTACCTTTTAATGTTTAAAATTACTTAGACAGTGATACTTTACATTTCTTCACATAGGTTTGGTAAAAAGAAATTATGTGCAGGGCAAAAGAGAGAGAGAGAGAGAGAGAGAGAGAGAGAGAGAGAGAGAGAGAGAGAGAGAGAGAGAGAGAGAGAGAGAGAGAGAGAGAGCAGGGTGGAGTTGTCCGACCATTCAGACAAGACTTTAGTGACCAAGACATGTATTTGTCCAAACTTCAAATTCACATGTTCAACAATTCTTTGAAAATAAATTTTGACTGATGCAGGGTTTGATATATATGATTTTTTTTTTGGAATACTACACCTGACCAGTCAATCTACTCTTGCAAATTTTTAACTAGCCTTGACCAAACAAGAAAAAATATTCAAAGAACTAAAGAAAATAAGATTGGTGTCACAATAAAGAAATGTATTAGTTTTTATTGATTAATTTGACTTGAACTTTAAGTGTCCTCGTTACATCACTCATTCTTAACGAATTTAATTTCAATTGTATTTTAATTTTTTCAAGTCCAACTATCTCGGCCTTCCTAGGTGACTTGGTCCTCATACCATTCTTCAATTTTCAACAATATTTAGAATGATATTTTGAGTCTGAAAAATTGGACACGAAGCTTTGAGTGATGTAACAAAAATTTCTTGACAGCAAATTCTAGATCATGTACACATTATGATGACGCCAAAAAATACCGGGTACTTCCGTCCCGGTTGATGCACTGCCACATGAACAAAATTTACCCTAATTTCATCGAAATATTTACAAATCGGGGGCATATAAAAACTAACTGGAATATGAAAAGGAAGAGGAATGTATAACAAAATTATTAATGTATGCATATCCCATGTTTTATTCTGATTTAAATGAATAATCGAGCGAAGTTGAAGCGAGGTGAGGCGAATGACTAGAAAAGAGTTGCAAGCCTTCTTTCTTTATATGTATCAGTGGTAGGGCTGTCACGGTTCCAAAAATTTTCGGGTCGGGTCGGTTCTGATTTTTTCAGTTTCGGGTTTCTCGGGTCGGGTAGGTAATGGAAGAAAAGCTCATGATTTTTATTATTTCCACATTTAATCTTAGAAATTGCAACATTATAACTAGTTCAAAGTAGCCTCCTAGCTGACTAGACAACAATTGTACCAATTAAATTATTTAAATCACCTTTCAGGGTTTCAGATTGAAATAATTTTTCAGTAAGTATAGGACATCTGGCATATTTACCAGAAAAGTTATAGGCCATTCTGTCCTAATCTTCCTAAAATTATGGGCCAATAGAAAAGTTAAACTAACTCAGATTTCTGTCAGACTTTTACAAAATAGTCATTTTATTACATAAAATATTCAAATATGAATATTAACTTTCCTTTTAATAAGGTGGAAATTATTATTTTGTTTTCTTTTAAACAAAATAAATATATTGAAACAGAATGGGGATTGTTTTTCTTTTTTAATTCCATTCAATGGGTATTTAACTTATATTAGTCCCAGGGGCGGATACAGGATTTGTGGTTAGGGGGGGCGTGGATAGCTTTGTTGAGGCAAGGGGTCTGGGGTTTTCGTGTATTTTAGAGTAAAACCAGGCACTATAATAGTGCATATTTTTCCTTTTTTTTTTAAAGTGGCATATAGGTTTGGATGTTTGAATGATAATATTGTATTGAATATTTCTCAGTTTTCATTGTATTGTAACACATGCCACCATAATAAACGATTTACCTGCTTAGTACTTACTAATAGTGGTATTGGTTAGTTATGTACCAATGTCCAAAGTACGCCGTGTTAAATACTATATTTTATATTTTCCACAGCTCTGGGAATGTTGCCCTACAACTGTACAATAGACCAATCCACACTTTACAAAAGTTTCTTTTTGCGGGGTGAACAAAAGGTCAAAAAGGAAAGTAACACATTTCTCCCCTTTATGCTACCAAACATTTGGGCTGGCTATGATGATTCCACTGTGTTAAAATTTGTTTTCTTTGGATGTGTTGGTAGCCCCAACATCGGGCAATCAGTATACCCACTGCAATGATTTTTTTCAGTAAAATGACAAAGTTACAAACCTGAAAACTACAAAGTGTTAGGATTCTATGGGTTTATCACCTAAGATGGCGGCCACGAGGTTTTGAAAAGTATGGATTCAACTATATGGCGGTTATGGGGAATAACTCTTGCTTAAATCACATCAAATGAAAATAATGGCCAGTTATTACCCCGTTTAATATATCATAATGCTGCCAATTCAACTGTTTAAAAAGTACATTCAACTCGCATAGACAGAAGCACTTTCAAAATCGTCAGACGTCTTACAAATATATATATACATTTTGCAGCCATTGAAACAGACTCGACGTCGTTTTTATCCAGTACCAACTATCGAACAGTTTAACATTATGTAGAATGCTAATAGACTCTATCATGCACAAAATATACGAAAAGAACATACACAATTTGCTAAAGGCAAATACTCACCGTTAGCAGTCAAAAGAAGTCTTGAAAATCGTTGTAAAATTCAATGGGCAATATTTGTACAGCTTGCTGCTTTGAATTTCAAATCTTCGTGTTACTTCGTATATTTCCGCCGCCACTTCCGGTACTCTTATTTTCATCATTATTTGAACTTATTTTATGTGTAACACGTGTCTAACAATAAATAAATTATTTTTGCAAACAAAGAAATAATAGAAATGCAATTCATATATATGAATAAATTTATTGAAATTCAATCGGCACGTTCCGCTTTTCACGGAAATTATCGACAGAATCTGATTGGTCTAACAAGTCACGTGGTTTTTGTCGTTTTTGGTGCTGAGAACAGGGGAGACGAAGATGAAGAAGTTTGCGATTATCAACTTTGTGAAGGAGAAGAACGTCGGTGTTGCGCCTTGTGACTGGTTAGAACGTGCCTGTGACGTCGATGATACAGTTATCGTTAACTGGGAAGAGGGGAAGAAGAAATCACCGTATGAAGTTGTGGTCCTGGGATTTTCAGGTTGGTTTAAAATTATCTCCCTTTGACGCCATTTTGGATTTCTCAAATCCATTAGATTTTAAATATTAGGCCAAGGTTAGAAATTGAAAAAGAAAAAAAAGGTTCAATGCACTTTTGAAGTAAAAATTATTCATTATCATTTTTTAATTATCACGATTATATTTTTATCAAGTCTTGACAAAGTCTGGCTTCAGGATTATTTATTTATCCCCCTTGGACGCCATTTTGGATTTTCAAATTTATTAAAATTAAAATTCTCTAATTTAAAACCAGGGATTAATCTAGGTTTTGTGGGAAACTACCCTTTCTGGAGAAATTTGGAAAATCAGCGAGGTATGGGAACCACTTGAGTGCAGGGCAAGCCCAGAATTGGGGCCAAATTGACTGTCAGCATTGTATGACCATATTTAAAGTGCATAAAGTAGCAAAGTAAAACCATATTTCTCACATGCTGAAATTTTACTTGAAAAAGAAATATTTGACATGTTTGAGGTTTTTACAATTGTAAGGGGAATATTTTACTCATCAAAAGGGGAAAATTAGATCTTCATGGGAAATTTCTCTAGGGGAAAACACCCAATATAATTTGGAAGTAAATATGCCCTAGATTAATCCCTGAAAACATGGAACGTTATTGAGATAAATAGTGTCATCACTTAACGCAATGCTTTTTTGGTCAGAGTTTATCTTTTCAAGCGAGATTTGTGATAACAGTAAGTACTTTGTAACTCCACAATATGAAACAGAAACATGCAAGCTGGGCTGTACCGGTATAGACCGTTTCACTGTAACTGCGGTACTGCTCTCTTGCAGGGCAACATGATATATTTTGGTGAAATATGATGTAAAAGTGATTGTTTTAAATAGGTCATTTAATTATCTATGAACAAAAACTCCGCCAAACATTATTATTTTGCCCTGCAAAAGAGTAGTACCACAGTTACCATGAAGGGGCTCATAATTTATTTTTGCAATTAGATTATTTAATGATACATTCTTTGACAAATCCCGGGAGTCTAATGCCCGGGACCTGGTAAAATTGGAAGCAGGCATGCGGAAATTGCACACTTGCAAGCCTGAAGATCATGTAAATTCTTAGGCAATTTCCAAGGAACTCTTCTTCAAAGGAGACACAAAAAGTGCACAGGTTGAAAACTAATGGCGAGACAATGAATTGACAGAATGGATTTCAGAGCATGGAAAGGCAAATAAAAATATAACTGCAGGGTTTGACATTAAGGCACGTCGGACGGACTGAGTCCAGTAAAACATAGGTCCGGTCGGGTAAAATGTCTGTGTACTAGACCGACTGGTCGTGCAATAAAAACAAATAAACTTATTAATATATATTTTTAAACAAATTTATTGTCAATGAAAAATAAAATCATAGCTCTCCTAACCGCATGGTAGAAAGAAAACTATATACGTAACAGACAGCATGACGGAAGCACTATTATTAACAGCAGTCATTGTAGGCATTCCTAACTACTCAGTGTTTTCCTAAAGAGAAACTATAAGCTATTTTTCGTTTATGGAAATGGCTGAGTAGTTACAATTGTCATTGTGGAAAGATTCATGATTACAACATCGGTAAACAGTGTAAATGGCAATAAAACTGTAATAATAACATTATTTTTTATTACTATGCCTAAATTTTTTTGGAACAATTATAATGATAATGGTATCTTACTATATTGTATACAAGTTGATTTTTTTTTTTAAATCAAATTAAGTTAGGAATGAACAAGCTGCATGTGTATGACCTAGTTTTAATGTTGAAATGTGTGCAGGAAATTTTGCTATTAAAATAGGGATTTATTTCATTGGTAAGGATAAACCAATACAATGTATAAGCTTATAAAAAGTGTTATTCATAAATTATCACTATTTTGTGCTTTAAATATTCTTTTTTAAGTTTACTGCGCCATTTTTCACTTCAATGCGACTATGGCGCCAGGGGTTGACATTAACTTTTATATTCACTTGTCATTCGGGCAAGTGAACTACAATTTTGACTTGCCCGAACGCAAAATTTGGTTGCCCAAAAATTTTTAAGAAGATTTCAGTTACTGTATTCAAGGACCAACCTAGGGGGCGACTGAGGCGAAATAGTCGCTTTTGGGCTCCAAACTTCGCCGTAATTTATCATGAAAGCGAAGTTTAAGTCGCCTTAACATTTTCAAACCCTTTATTGAAAATAATAAAAGAATCTATTAAGAAACATGGTAGAACCCTCATTAATTTATAAATCTTGTTTAATTACCGCTGGAATAAACGAAACAGCAGGACACTTGCACCTGTTTCGCTACAAATGACCAATGCGTCGAATACTCTGTCGGAACTCCTCTAGATTTTACCCTTCCGGTTATGAAAAACCCCATTGTTATACCAGACGCAAAACAGCTGGTCATATATCGATGTCATGCCAAAGATGTTGAAGATGATTTTAGATCTTTTTATTGCCAAATAATTATTTCATGCTGTCAATACTGACATACTTTTACTGTTAAATTGTGGAGTTATCACTGTCCAAGAAATTACACGTCTGATATACGGAGTTCAATCAGCATGCAGTATGTATGTACAGTACATGTACACCAAAACCTTTTTTTCAGAAATAATAAAAAATAATACTAAAAAAAATTAAAAATAAAATAACAAAAAATTGTACCATGCTATGAGGCTGAAAATTTAAAATGAAAACTTAAAAGATAGAATTCAAAAGTTAATTGTGCATAGTATGGAAAATAAAAAAAAAACAACTTTGTTTTATGATTTTTTTTTTTGCTTGATATACCTTGTAATTGCCAAAAAAAAAAAAAAAACCAGATTCTATATCTCTTTCTCTGTTTTATTTTGATTATTTTTACTAGGATGTCAGTACAAAAAATTAATGACATATATTTTAAGTTATAAACAATGAAATGGTTTCATTTTTAATAAGTTTTAATGATCAGTGAGCGTCGCGAGCGCCAAGAAGTCTCCCTAAATTTTAAAACTTCTCCCTAAATTTCTCTGAGGGAGAAGTGAAGTCTCCCTAAATTTTGGGTCTAGGTTGGTCCCTGCTGTATCTTAATTTGATACTGTAAATATTACAAACGTTAACAAACTAATTTCTATTTTAAACTTAACTGCAAACAACTTTCCTGTAATTTACTATCCTGTTAACACACATACAGCAATGCACTAGTGATATTTTCTTTTCTTTTTTTAGTTGAAAATTTACCCCCCCCCTTCCCAAGCGATTAAGGTCAACTAAAAGGAAAACAGTTATCATGTTTTGAATCAAGATACAACATTACCGAGAACAACTGGTGTTCTTTGTATTCTGTAAGTGATTAAATAAGCTATTCTATTATATATATTTCGTAAGAATGTATCGTAAGTTCATAGTAAGTTGTCAGGCAGAGAGTGAACGAAAGAAAACAGAATAACGAACCCGATTTTTAAATACAATGTAAAGGTATGATCCAGAAACCTAAAACAAGGGATTCCGAATGCAAAAAAAAATGTCACATTTTTGGCGGAAATCAACTGTTCAATTCATTGATTTGTTTATAAACTAATTTAAGATTAAAAAAAAAAGTTTCTATCAGAAATATCCACTTGCCCGATCGGACAAGTTCATCGATGATTTTACTTGCCCGACCCGATGATTTACTTGTCCCGGGCAATAGGACAACCGTTAATGTCAATCCCTGTGATTGGGAAGGGCTTGCGCCATGCGCCGCGCATGGCGCAAGCCCTTCCCAATCACTGAATTTGTGCTGTGAATATAGGCATATTTTTAACATGTGTCTTTCCATATGCAAGGAAGTCTTGTCATGTGACTGCATGTCATTGAAAATTGAGTGTAATTTAATTTGTATTGTTTTATATAGAAGGAAATACCATGTCAAATGCAAATGATTTATATTGAATGTTTTATATGCACATTGACACTATAATCAATTTAATAAACAAATTTCTGGGGAGCCCTTATTTTCTATTCTAGTTACATAATAAAGTTTAAAATTTGAATTAAATCAAGAGATTCACTGGACCTGCTTATAACAATTGCCTTATTTAATGAAATTTTGTTATACAGATGACAGAGAAGATGCAGAATCTATGATGGATAGATATATTGAGACTGGACGCTTAACAGAGAAAAGGAAATTGTCAGCGGGATTTCACGACCTCAGTGATTCATCAGATGATGAGGTATTATAAAAATAAACTTTGTTATGACATTACATTGTATTATGTATATGACAGTATGAAAGTATTACAAATTTAAGATTACTCCAATGATTGTTAGATTAGGCCTTATCTGTATTTTTAGGAATGGCTTCTTTAAAATTATTACCCCCCTTTGAAGGGGAGACAGGGTAAATATTTTTACCTTTGTGTGCTTGTAACAAATTTTGGTGCAATTTTCTCAGAAACTACGTGTTGAACATGTTGAAGATGCTTGAATTTTTTCACACACCTTCTTTATGTGATGGAATTTATTTTTGTATGAATCTGATCATGCTGATGTCAACAGAGTAAAGTATAGATTCACATGACACTAGTTTGGGTATTACTGATAAGCATTCACTCACGGACTTCTTGTTATGACTTGATTGTATATGATTTTAAAAAAATTGCTCTAATTTTCAGCTCTTGAAAGAAAAACAGAAGAGGATGAGAATCAGCTATGCTGCAGGACAGAAGAAAATGAAAGAAAAGTTTCTGGAAATCAAGGTATTTGTCTTTTATTTTCCTTATAAATAATAATGATCTTCCTTAGAATTTTCAAGGATTCTCTGAATCCCAGAATAAATCATTTAATCCCTTGTTTTTTATGCCCCCCTTCAAAGAAGGGAGGGCATATTGCTTTGCTGTTGTCTGTCGGTCCATTTAGTTTCCGCTCATTTTCTTCATAACCATTGCACATACAGAAATGAAATTTGGTATACAAGTATATAACATGAATATCTAGGGGAAGTTCTGTTTCGGGTACGGTCGCACCATAATTGACAGAGTTATGCCCCTTGGACTTAAAAAAATTCCAATTGTTTGCAGTTTCCGCTCATTTTCTTTGGAGAGGTTGCACATATTGAAATGGAATTTAGTATACAGATTATTCAGAAGAATATCTAGGTCAAGTTTTGTTTTGGGTACGATCGCAACATAATTGACATAGTTATGTCCCTTGGACTTAGAAAAATTCCAATTATTTGCAGTTTCCGCATTTTCTTTGGAGAAGTTGCACATATTAAAATGGAATTTAGTATACAGATTAGTCAGATGAATATCTTGGTCAAGTTCTGTTTTGGGTATGATCATATGATCACACCATTTTTGACAGAGTTATGCCCTTTTGGACTTAGAAAAATTCCAATTTGTGGGGGAGGGGGGCATAAGTGTTTTACAAACATTTTTTGTTGTTTTAAAAGTTACACAATTGTTTTCCATTTATCATTTGTTTATCCTCTTTATCAGTTTATATTCACTTCCTGCCAATATCTGCCAAAATTTTAATGTACATTTATTTCTGTACTTTTAGGGTAAAGAAGACAGACAGCAAACAGATGAAAGCTCCACTGGACAGGTATTTATTTATTTATATGTTTTAATTTATGGAATAGGTAATAAAAATGTAATAATCAGTATTAATGTTATGCCCCATGCATCAGGGACATTTGCCCCTTTTGGACATATCTAGCAGTCCAGTCCAATACGAAAAATCGTAATATTACTAAAATTCGTAATATAAGCAATTTCTAACTCTTCTAAGAGTTACTTCCCTTTTTTCTGATACAACCTGCTTGTTATCTTTCATGAGAGATTTTACGTCTCTGGTTTCATCAAATCATCGTGGATATGCATGCATTTTCTTTGTTTTGATGCATTTTATCCGAGTGCATGCAGAGTCAAAGCCTAGTGAAAATTGTACAAGTTATATCCTGTCTCGATGTTGGAGATGAGGGTCTGATTTTTAGGGTAGACTTCGGGAAAAATATAGGGAATTCGGGGATTATAGAACACTATGACAAGTTTTAAGATACATTGAAGTTTTATGGAAAATTGTTCCCATCTCTGGGAAAATTCTTATATAAGAATAATAATACAAAATTTTCACTCACCCATTACTTTCTTCTTGCATTTTCATACTTTTTCGATAGACGTCACTGACCAAAATGACCACGTGATACTAGTACCATTGGGGCATAATGTATTTCTGACGTCATACTTTCCTTAACATCATTCAGTTTCTTTCAAGGCTTAATTTTGTCTTACATTACGTAAACTCGTAATATAGTCTCTTACAACATGCTATATTACGAGTTTTCGTAATTTAACTATATTACGAAAAATAGTAATATAAGAATAATATTATGATATTCTGTAATATTACAATTTTTCGTATTGGACTGGACTGTCTAGCTGTATATGTTATTGAATTGTTTTGTTATAAGTAAAACTTTGTGATCAAGCTAAGATTTTGCAATCACTTTAGAATGTAGTTGTTTTTTTTTTTTGTTTTTTTTTTTTTCGAAAAATATGTAAAATTGATGGAAAGTTATTCTCACATAAACATAATAAAGATACTGAGAGACAACAATATTGTCCAGTAAACACTTAAAGGTCTCAAGAAAGTACCACTCTAAATTGATACCAGGTGAACAATTTCACCCACATATGTCACACTGAGTTTTTGAAATCCATTGGCAAACCAGTTTAATATTCAATGAATGGTAATTTTCTTCATGTAATCAGTCCAGGGGACCAGTAAAAAATTGGACCTTTCCGGAATTTTAACCTCTTAAATGCATTTTAAGTTTATTTCTGAGATTGTCTAAAAGATTGAATCTGTGCGTATGATAGAATAAACTGGAGTGCTTTTACAACAATTAGTCATTATTTTTTTTCTGCCATATCGATCTGTGTTTGTTCAGTCAGATGATTCAGTTAGTACAAAATGTTAATTAGCATATTTGGGATACATCATATGCCAGCCTATCATCATTAACCTTAAAAATAAAGAGTAATTAATCATTATTGTTACATTAAACATTTTCCTCACAACATTTAAAACTTCGTTTTCTGTGGTAGATAGCAATGTTGGCAGTTGGGTATCCACTTTAAATATCACACCTGGAATTCGGTCCAGGGATATTTGACGTAGGTTTTTAAAGGCCTAACTGGAATTAAATCAGTTTTGAAGTTTTTGAATATATCTATGCTGATCGATCAGTGAATATTTGTGTGGACCATTGACAGCGGTTTTTTCACCCTTACTTAACTAGTTCCCAATGCCAGAAAACATTAATTTTCCCCAATTCTGTGACTAAAAATTCCCTCTTCAACTGGGAAGCTAAAGATTATGACGACATTGTATTTTTTGTTAAAGGAAACATTGTACAAGTGACTAGTTGTTTCACTTCCCCTTTAATTGAAAGTAGAGAAAGTTGTAATTTGGACCAGTGGTTTAGACAGATAGTGTCATACATTTTGACAAATTGGGAGCATTACAATGTGAAAACATGGGACGTGGATATTATAAAAAAAACAATAAGTACTCATGTTTATTCTTTAAAACAAGCAGTACTAGGGATTTAAGTTGGAATAAACGCAAAAAATTGCATCTGCATATATATGTGAGAGAAAATTCTTCTTTGTTTTTCTTTGATGTTATCTTTGCCGATTGAACCGGTACCAAACCCTTTCCCAAATGGTGGGGTAAAAATGGATGATTGAATTTAACTAAACCACTGGTCTACTTGACCAGTGATTTTTTTTTAAACTCTGAATTGTCAGCAAGCCCATCATTAACAATGACAATAACATGAATGTTTAATTTTATTACTAGGAAAAGAAGCAGCAAGAAATAGAAGACAACACCCAGAATGAGAAGGAGCAGGTTAGACAATTTAGTTTTTAGTATCTATGATTTATAAATTTTTCAGGGCTCAACATTAAGGCACGTCCGACCGACTCAGACTAGTAAAAGGTAGATCTGGTCTAGTTTATTT